ACAGAAATATAGATGTTGGGTCGTAATCAAGATTATAAATGTATTAATTTGATTAGATGAATCCAAAGATATAATAAAATTTATGTTAAATTTTTTTAATATGCTCTTGATAGTCTTTGCACGTCAAGAAAGAGTAAACAATTTTCCCACCCAAGGTTTGCCTTAATGACATTTTCCACCCATAAAGTTTCAAAATATCACTTTCTCACCCAAAGTTTATATTCTATTAAAACACAAAATACATTTAACTTTCTTAGCCAACGTTCAGTGAGTTACCAAGAACTAGAGTAAGAGGGGTTTTGTAGAGTGGAGATTGATAGATTGAATAGTGATGATCGATTGAATATTCGCTGTCAAAATCAGTCAAAAATCGGCTAAGAACAAGAAACTTTAGCTTTATAATAGTTGGTAATCGGCGATAAATAAAATGTCGGAGTGAGAGTGTTTTGTATAGAAGAGACCATAGTTTCAAATGGTGGTGATAAAGAGAATTTTTGTCATCGAAATCGACTTTGGGTATTGACGAAATATAAACTTTAGGTGAAAAAATGGCATTGTGAAACTTTTTAGATAGAAAAGTGTTATTAAGGCAAACCTTGGGCGGGGACTTGTCAAGAAATCATAAAATGTTTTAACAGAATTTTAATAATTTACCTTGAGGTTTTCTATATAATATAGGTATTCCCTCTCTTGTCAATTAAGATTTTCATTAATACATTTTACACTTAATTAATTAAATTAAATATTTAAACTAAATTGCATGCTTAAATCTTAAATTTTATCTCAATCCTAGTAATTTTACAATACTGAAAAACAAAAACCTATCTTCAAATTTTCAAGAGCTGTAACTTATCGGAGAAAGAGATGGCAATCCAATCCAGCTCAATCGGACACCAACGCACGTAATTAATCTCACTCATTGTTCCATACCACAATTCCGGCTCAACTTCCCCTCCATTCTCCAATCCAAACTCCGACCCCACCACCTCCCAAATCAGAGCCCTTGAATCATCCCCCACAGAACACAACTGCCTTCCGATGAATGGCACCCATGATATCGCATTCACGCTGCCAGTATGCTTGACTAACTCCATTACAGGATTTGTCGGATAACGAATGTCCAAAACTACAACTCTATTACTATCCATTCCAACTGTAGCCATGAATCTTGGATCCGCTTTGTTCCATTCCAGCCTCAACAATGGACAATTCTGTACAGGATTTTCATAAATGATCGTGGATCTTTCTTTATCCCTCAAGTCAAAAACTCTTACTGAGCCATCTCCCGAAACCGTTGCAAAAACATTGAATCCTCCCCATGAAATATCATAAACCTCTTTATCGTGTGCAACCAAGTGAGTCTCAAGAATTTCTTTCTCTATATCCCAAATTATGCAAGTCGTGTCCACGCTGCATGTGGCCACACGGCGCATGTCGAATTCAGCCCAATCGAATGATGTGATGGCGGAGTTGAACTCGCTGCCCTTGTTGCTATTCAACAACGCTTTGAGTTCAATATGGTCGTGGTGAATTTCCCAGAGGCGGAGGTAGTCGCCGGAGGTGGCGATTATGTCCGGATTTCCAGTGTCTTCGGAGGGGAAGAACATGAGGTTCGTGGGGGCATATGGGTGGTCGAAAATGAGACGATTATCGGTGGAGAAATCGGAGGTTTCGAGGTTGAACTGAACGAGCTCAACTTTGTTGCTGTAGTCTTCAAGAAAACTTGCAATGGCGAGGCGTGATTTTTTATCCTGGCGAACTGACCACGCTAAGGAAGAAATTGGCCATTGAGCAGTGTGAGTGAAGACTCCTGGTTTCTGTTCTGAGGGGCTCTGCATGGTTACCCCAGAACGGAATTATCTATAACAAATGATGAACTCTGGAATCTCTGCATCACAGTTAAAAGAAGATAAGTCAATAGATTCAACAAAGATTTTAAATGGGAAAAAAATCATTAACCGTTCCTAAAGTTTTGAAAATTTATAAGCACAAGGTAAACTTTGGGTTTTTAATCCATTTCCCTCGGAACTTTCAAGAAATCAGCAGAAACTTCAAGTTAGAAACACCGACAAAAACGAAGCAGGACTGGGCCCAACGTGGCAATATATTCCGATTCAATAATCAGCACCAGAAAATCGTCGAGGCATCATGATTGGGAACATGAGCACGTCAAGTAAATTTAAATTATTTAATATGTTCAATATTATGACCAAACAAAAGTAGGGGCCGTATTATCTCGTTGCAGGAGTAGATATACCTGACCAAAAATCTTATTGGGTGAAAAATATAGATGATTAAATGGGTAACTAAAAAGTAAGATTGAAAAAGATTCCTGAATATTTTGAAATATAATAATTGGTTCATTGAAAGAAAAAGGAGCGGGTTAGGTCAAAAGTGTTGTGAAATTTCGCACCAACGCCACCATTACCAAAATAAGCAACCATCAAAGAAGGAAAACGAAAAGAGAGAGAAACCCTTTCCTTCTCTTCCCTGTAGAAAAAAATCATGCATGAAAAAGACAAGCTACTTCACTGTCCTTGCATGTTCCTGTAAATTAAAACTAAAAATGACATCTCTAAACAACAAAGAGTACTCACTAAAAAAACAATAGAAAGAACTCAATCCTCTATCCGACGATTTCCAAAAAAAGTTTCAGAGAACATTAGATAGAGAAACTTACAGTAGTGCAAAAGAATGTAAAATCCAGGATATGGGATTGGCTTGGTTGATATACAATTTTACATAGAGATATACAAATAAATGGCTAAAAGGAGGAGGAGAGAGAGGAGGAAGTTCTGTGCAATTAGTGTGGAGAACTCAAGTAAAGTGGAGAAAGCAATCAAATAAATGGGAACGAAAATCAAAGCACAGAAGGGCAAGTAAAACTAATGGTCAACTGTCACATGCTGGTTTATGTGGTTTGGTTTGTTTCTCTTTGTCCCATTTATAGGTACAGGCGTTTTTTTCTATGTTTGTTCTTTCAGGCCGCGTCTAGTCTTGGAAATGTTACGTTATTGAAAATGTTTAGTTTAGTTTAGTGTCGGTAATCTTATATTAATGGAAACATAAATTAAAAATTATTAAAAATATTATATTAAATATCAATACTGGATCCATAAATTTTTTTTAGGATAGGTCAAAATAAAAATTAATTACATATTAATATTTTTATTAGGGTGGACCAAAATCTAAAAATTAAGGGTGAGTCAAAAGTAGGCTGGATCCGCGCTGTTAAATATATTTGGTTATATTGGAATAATTAAAAGTGTATTTATTTTATTATTTTGAGTAATATTTTTGAAAAAATTAAGTTAGGTTAGTATTACGACAATAAGTTTGAAAATTTGTTTGGTAAGATTATTTTTAACCTCTTATACTTTTTAATTTAGTTAAACATCCCTTACAATAAAAGTTTTAAAATTAGCTAAAATACTCCCACCCACCCATTAAATGCCGGCAGTTAGCCACCAGCTGTCGGGAATATGTGGGTGGGTAGGAGTGTTTTTGTCAAATTATAAATTTTTTTATTGGGGGTATTTAGTTAAATTAACAAATCTATGGAATTTAAAAATAGTTGGATATAATTTAATTGAATTTTCAGAATAGGGAAACAAATATATATTTTGGGTAGGATAGCAATATGATAGGGTAAAAATATTAAAACAAATACAACCTAAATTGGTGGGTATGTTTTATTGATATGTTGGATTGGGAGGAGTAAAAGAATTCTAAGAGTAACCTTTTACTGAATTGCTCTTTTTTTTTTAATAATATTATTATTATTTGGATTATTTCTTTCAATCCTCTACATTTTAAAATTAAGCTAAAACACCTCAGCCACAATAAAAGTTTAAAAACTAGCCAAAACACCCCAACCACCCAAGATGACTGTCGGTCGCCAACCACCACTGTCGGCTACGACGATACTCGTCGAAATAGCGCACGACTGGCTAAATATGGTCTACTGGTCGTGCGTCGATCTGGTCGTTTCTAGCTAGATCCATGGATTTAGTCGTTTCTTTCCAACTAGATAAACGACCAAATCCATGGATTTGGCTATGGATCTGATAAAAAACGGCCATGGATTTGGTCGAAAAATGCTAGATCCATAGATCCGGCCAGTCGTGCATCGTTTTGGCAATAAAAACTAGTGGTTGGCTGTGGTGGCTAGATCCGACGGTGGTCTTGGGTAATTTGGTTAAAGTAAAAGAGCAATAATGTCTTAAAAACCTTGTGTATAAGGATAAAATAGTCCATAAATATTTTTGTAAATTATTTTTAGAACAAGAGCATTACTGTCCAAAAATTTTATTAATTAAGATAAAATTGCAACAAAATTAAGATTACTAAGTAATCTTATAATATTTGAGAAAATTATAGTATTTAGATTACCACCTATAATATAACCTAAAATAATTACTATTGATATTAGAGAATTATCGAAATATTTTATTATTTGATAACTAAATATGGTAATATCAATAATATAAAATGACATTATTAGAGCAATGGGGGATTCTCCCAACCAAACTCACCCTTTGTTCAAAGGTCGTGAACTACATATAGCAAACTTTATGTCATCGGTACTAATTAATTTGTAAGAATTCCTTAAGCTCTTAATAAGACCGCTAAAGTATAATATAATAATAAAAAATTTCATGTTTTTAAAATAATAAAAACTTTGCTAGCTTAAATGAATAGTTAGTGAGTGGTTAAAATTTATACTGTCATTAGTTAGTAAATATTATCAAATTATCTTCCTATAATTTAATATGAGTGTTTCATATTACATTCAATTTTAGGTGGGTTAAATTTATTTCTCCATTGCTTTGTTTAATTTTGCTTACGATGATAGATTCTAATGTTTAATTATTAAAATTTAAGGTTAACAAATAAAATATCACGTTACGTTGGATACAACATTTAAAAACGATAACGCTTACAAAAGCATTATCTTTTTATATTTAATAATTACATCTAATGTCTTATTATGCATTATCTTTTATATTTAAAAGATAACGTTTACAAAAGCATTATCTTTTATCTAATTATTTAGAAACAAAAAATATATAATGATTTTAAATTGAAAACTTAATTACATCTACTATTATTATGAGTTTAATTATAAATTTAAAAGCACAAAAAAATAAATTTATGATATTAAAGTACAAATACACCCATAAAGATACATTAAAAATCTAGCTAATAAAACATCAATTTTTTACAAATAAACGATAATCGCAAACAAAATCCTCCAAGTTTACGAAAAAAATTCCTACAAAATGTATATATATATATATGTATGTATACGTGTGTGTGTGTGTGTGTGTGTGTGTGTGTGTGTGTGTGTGTGTGTTGTATTTAATTAATATAAAAGAATCAACCTAAAAGACAAGAGAAGTTAACATAATTAAATATTAACATAGCACAATAACAATAATTTAAATGGAAAAACAAGTCAAATGTTTATAGAAAACGAAAACATCAGACAACAAGCATTAAATCTCTTCAAAGAATCAATTTTTAAGTAGTATATCATGTGTTGAACGTAGCAGATCTTAGACATCACGTGAATCATACAACATGTGAAAATTTTGTTTTGAAAGGGAGATGAGAAGAAAATTAGAGGTGGGAAAAAAGCCCGGGCCCCAAAACCAGGCCGGTCCCTCCTCTCAATCCCAGGCTCGAGCCCGTTAATTTTTAAAACCCTTGCCCAATTACATAATCCCCCCTGATAATTATACAAAACCCCCTATAATATATGAAATACATAATAAACTTAGAGGTTAAAAATAATTTTACAAATTAAAAATAAAATAAAATAAAATTTTCCAAGCCCATGATCGATCCTAAGACCGGTCTGGGCCTTAAGAAAACTCATAGGCCCAGGATTGGTCCTTGAGAATTTGGGCCCGGTCTCTCAAGGCCCCAGACCGCCTAGGCTCGAGCCTTGCCCACCTCTAAAGAAAATATAGGAAAGGAAAGAGAATAAATAATATTTTATTTTTATTTATAAATTTTAAATTCTCTCTCTTAACTAGGGATGGGTGGGGGTCGAGCAGAGGACCCCATTTCTTGGGCCCAACCCCGAGGGTATTCCCCAAGCCCGACTTGTCCCTGGGACGAGAATGCCAAGGAATCCCTGTCCACGACCTGCCGAGATGGGATGACCCTTGTCCTGCGCTGCCCGTATGCAGGGATTTTGCAGGGAAAATTCCCTGTTGGGATTCCCCTCCCAACGGCAAAATCCCTGTAATTTTCTTCACTTATATTTTTTACTTACCATCTAATTAATTAATTTACAAATTACCTTAATTTTTTTATTAGTTTATATTTTTATTAAGGTGATTTTTTAACTTAGAAATGGTTTATTTGAAATTAACCTTCACAATCAAATCAAACCCTCCTTATCACTAATACAATTTATTGTGTCTCTCTATCTTTATAATATAAGATTAACAAAGATTTATAATATAATATATAGCTTATAAATGGATTTTAAAATTAATAAATATAGAAATTGTGTCTTGTTATGTGATACAATTTATTGTGTCTCTCCATCTTTATAATACAATATATGAATTCTTTGAATATCACATAAAGTTCCTCTTCCTTCTTCTAATTAATTGGTGATTTTAATTTACAACGATTTTAAATGTCGATTTAAGTAATTAATTTGTTTTTATATAAAATTCATTTTCCTTCTTCTAATTAATTTGTTTAGTTTGCTTTATTGATTGATTTTAAACTATTCAAATTAATATAAGATTAACCAGATTTATACTTGACTAAAATTTCTAAGTAGGGCTATTATGTTAAGCCTATTGTAGTGGCATCTAATTAAAATGAGAACATAAAGTTATAAATTACTTCTTATAGTAGGGCCAGGCCTACCCCCGTCCCCAGCCTGTTCCCCGATTGTTTCGGAGAATCCCTAGCCCAAACGGGCCAGGGTAAGGCGGGTCCTTGACGAACCCATCCCTACTCTCAACTTCCATTTTCTCCCATTTCTCTTACAAAATTCGGCCAAAATTTTAACGGAATGTGTATTTTGCAATTCCCAATGCGGAGAAATGAAAACAAAACGCACACATTGTGATCGAACAGTCCCAATTAACCCCCTAGCTTAGGGATGATAACAATTTTGTCCTTGGAGTTTGGTTAACACTATAGTGACGTTTGATCCTTTTAAGTAACAATTTAGTCCTAAGGTTTGCTAATGATCGAGACTAAGACCATCTCCAACCCATTGCACCAATTTGGTGCAAAATTGCACCAAATTGGTGCAAAACACTATTCCATCTCCAACCCACAACACCAAATATTGCACCAAAAAGAATATTCCTTAGAATATTCTTTAGAATATTCTTTTTTTCTTTTATTGTAATAATCAACAATTAATCTATTTCACTCATTATTTTTGTATATATTAATTAAATATTAGAAATGATATTTTTATTAAATAATAATTATTTTGAAAATTATACTAATTTAATAGAATTAAGCATTTATTTAATCAAATAAACATTACATTTAATATATCAAAACATATAGAAAAACATTACATCTAATATAAAATGATACAAAAAAAAAAAAAAAAAAAAAAAACAACAACAACACAAAAGGTAAAATTCCATATTGATAGTAATTTAATTTTTCAAATTAGTATGTTCTTTCCACAAATGACAATTAATTCATTTCGAAGAGCATGGTGAGCCTCTGTAGTTTAGTATGTTCTTTTAATTTTAGTGTTTTTAAATTAGTGTTAATTTTATTTTGAGTTATGTAGTTTAATATTTGCAT